GCGCGCGGTTGACGGCGTCCAGGTCGGCGTAGCGCAGGTCCAGCTGGCAGCCCACCAGCACGATGGGGGTGCGGGGGCAGAAGTGTTTGATTTCGGGGTACCACATGGTCTTGACGTGCCTCAGAGAGTTGGGGTTCGCCAGCGAGAAGCAGAGCACCACCACGTCCGACCTGTGAGGAGGACAGCGCTGTCCCCAAACGCGCCCTGCTCAGGTGACACCCGTCTCCAACCCCACCTCAGGTCACTGTCCCCATCTTGGGACCCCCCAGGAGCCTCAGGACCCCCTGAGAGCCCCAAAACCATGGTTCCCATGGTTTTGGGGCTCTCAGGGGGGTCCTGAGGCTCCTGATCTGTGGGATTCCCATGGGAACTCCGTGACCTCTGGGACACGGGGACAGGAGGGACCCCACGGGTCACAGACTGTCCCACTCGTGTCACCAGCATGGTGGTCCCACCCTCCTGATCACCCACAGGGGGACTTGGGTGGGTGCCAGCCGCCTGCTGTCCCCGGTGCCACCCCCGGTGCCACCCCAGCCGTGGCTCAGGGGGTGTAAGGTGCCAAGGGGACACGGGGGGTGGCACCAGGGACACGCAGTGGGTGCCAGCACCCCCAAGTCCCCGCAGCAGCCGCGTGGCCCCGGGCCCGGGTTGTTTTTAGTCCGTGCCGGGACGGGACGTGACCGGGAGGCGCCGTTGGAACCGGGCCCGTGTCCCAGACCAAGATAGCCGCCACCGGCCCCCCCGGGGCCCCTGGCCAGCCCCGGGGCCACCGTGAGCCGTGGGGACACAGCCTCCCCACCCATCCCGGTACCGGGGGGCTCCCCACCCATCCCGGTACCGGGGAGATTAGCGGGGCTGGAGCGGGGCGGCGGCGATAAGAGCCCCGGACGTGCCAGCGGCCACGGGGACCGGCTGTTTACAACCGGGGAGCCACGGGGGTGCCGGTGGGGGTTTCGGGGTGCCGGTGGTACGGGGCGGGGTTCCGGTAGCGGGTCGCGGTCCCACCTGCCATAAGCGAAGCGCCGGTCTTTATGGTGGTCCCCAAAGGTGTCCCAAAGGCGCAGGGAGACGCTGACCTCGTCCACCACATCCCGGGAGCGCTCCAGCACCTGTCGGCACCGGGAACGGCACCGGGAACGGCACCATCACCGACTGCCCGGAACCACCGGGACCACCACGGTGTGGCCCCGCTACCCCCTCCCCGCTTCCCCCCTCGGTGTCCCTTGCGGTACCGGCTGCTCCCAGGTGCTCGGTACCCCCTGTTGTCCCCCCGCCACGCCCCGGTGCCCCTCAGTGCCCGGCGGTGCCCGGTGCCCGGTGCCCCCCGGTAACGCCCCTCGCGCTGTTCTCCCGCTCGGTGTCCCGCCGTGCCGGGGGGTGTCCCGGGACCCTCACCTCCTGGCATACGCGGTACTGGTCGATGGCCCACACGGTGGGCACGTGTGTGGCCAGCAGCCGGTACTGGCTCAGCGTGGCGTTGCATGCCCGGGCGCAGATCAGCCGCGTTTTGCCCACGGCGTTGTCACCCACCACGACGCACTTGATGGTCTCGACGTTGGGCCGCTCGTAATCCACGTCGGGGTCCATGGGGGCGCGGGGGGCAGCGGCGCGGCCCCGCTCAGCGCCCCCCGCCCAGTCCCGGTCCCGGCCCCGGTCCCGGCCCGTTACCGACCCCCGCCCCGCCCCGCCCCGCCCCGCAGCCAATCAGCGCGCGCCTCCGCGGCACGCCCCGCCCCGCCCCGCCCCGCCCCGCCAATCCCGCGCGGCGCCGCCCGCCTGGCCACGCCCACCGCCCCGCCCCGCCCCGCGCGCGGACAAAGGAGCGCCGCCAGGGGGCGCCGCGCCGCCACGTGACGGCTCCGGGCCACGCCCACCGGCGCGCGCCAGGCCACGCCCACGGGGCGGGGTCAGGGACACGCCCTCGTCGATAGGCCACGCCCACAGGGCGGGGCTATGGGATACGCCCCGTGAGAGGCCACGCCCATGTGGGCGGGGCGATGTCGCGATAGGCGCGACAGTAGCGACAGCCGCGACAATAGCGATACCTGTGACAGCAGTGACACCAGTGACACCAGTGACACCAGTGACACCAGTGACACCAGAAGTACCAGCAAAACCAGTAAAACCAGTGGAACCAGTCAGAGTGACACCACTAAAAAGTAACACCAGTGACAGCAGTGACAGCAGTGACAGCAGTGACAGCGGTGACAGCGGTGACACCAGAAGTACCAGCAAAACCAGTAAAACCAGTGACACCAGTGAAAAGTAACACCAGTGACACCAGTGACACCAGTGACAGCGGTGACAGCAGTGACACCAGTGACAGCAGTGACAGCTGTGACAGCAGTGACACCAGTGACAGCAGTGACAGCAGTGACAGCGGTGACAGCAGTGACAGCAGTGACAGCAGTGACACCAGAAGAACCAGCAAAACCAGTAAAACCAGTGGAACCAGTCAGAGTGACACCACTAAAAAGTAACACCGGTGCCACCAGTGACAGCAGTGACAGCAGTGACAGCAGTGACAGCAGTGGCAGCAGTGACACCAGAAGTACCAGCAAAACCAGTAAAACCAGTAAAACCAGTGTCACCAGTGAGAGTGACACCAGTAAAAAGTAACACCAGTGACACCAGTGACAGCAGTGACAGCAGCGACAGCAGTGACACCGGTGACAGCAGTGACAGCAGTGACAGCAGTGACAGCAGTGACACCAGAAATACCAGCAAAACCAGTAAAACCAGTGGCACCAGTAAGAGTGACACCAGTAAAAAGTAAAACCGGTGACACCGGTGACAGCGGTGACAGCGGTGACAGCAGTGACAGCAGCGACAGCAGTGACACCGGTGACAGCAGTGACAGCAGTGACAGCAGTGACAGCAGCGACAGCAGTGACAGCAGTGACACGAGAAGAACCAGCAAAACCAGTAAAACCAGTGTCACCAGTAAGAGTGACACCAGTAAAAAGTAAAACCGGTGACAGCAGTGACAGCGGTGACAGCCGTGACAGCAGTGACAGCAGTGACAGCTGTGACACCAGAAATACCAGCAAAACCAGTAAAACCAGTGGCACCAGTGAGAGTGACACCAGTAAAAAGTAACACCGGTGACAGCAGTGACACCAGTGACAGCGGTGACAGCAGTGACAGCAGTGACAGCAGTGACAGACAGCAGTGACAGCAGTGACAGCAGTGACAGCGGTGACACCAGCGACAGCAGTGACAGCTGTGACAGCAGTGACAGCAGCGACACCTGTGATACCAGAAGAACCAGCAAAACCAGTAAAACCAGTGGCACCAGTAAGAGTGACGCCAGTAAAAAGTAACACCGGTGACACCACTGACAGCGGTGACAGCGGTGACAGTGGGGACAGCGGTGACAGCAGCGACAGCAGTGACACCAGAATTACCAGCAAAACCAGTAAAACCAGTGGCACCATAAGAGTGACACCAGTAAAAAGTGACACCAGTGACAGCGGTGACAGCAGCGACAGCCGTGACAGCAGTGACAGCAGTGACAGCAGTGACGGCAGGGACACCAGAAGTACCAGCAAAACCAGTAAAACCAGTGGCACCAGTAAGAGTGACACCAGTAAAAAGTAAAACCGGTGACACCGGTGACAGCAGTGACAGCCGCGACAGCAGTGACAGCAGTGACACCAGAAGTACCAGCAAAACCAGTAAAACCAGTGACACCAGTGAGAGTGACACCAGTAAAAAGTAACACCGATGACACCAGTGACAGCGGTGACAGCAGTGACAGCAGTGACAGCTGTGACAGCAGTGACACCAGTGACAGCCGTGACAGCAGTGACAGCAGTGACAGCAGTGGCAGCCGTGACAGCAGTGACAGCGGGTGACAGCGGTGACAGCGGTGACAGCTGTGACACCAGAAGAACCAGCAAAACCAGTAAAACCAGTGGCACCAGTAAGAGTGACACCAGTAAAAAGTAACACCGGTGACAGCGGTGACAGCGGTGACAGCGGTGACACCAGTGACACCAGAAGTACCAGCAAAACCAGTAAAACCAGTGGCACCAGTAAGAGTGACGCCAGTAAAAAGTAACACCGATGACACCAGTGACAGCAGTGAGAGTGGTGACAGCGGTGACAGCAGTGACAGCGGTGACAGCAGTGACAGCGGTGACAGCTGTGACAGCAGCGACAGCAGTGACACCAGAAGTACCAGCAAAACCAGTAAAACCAGTGTCACCAGTAAGAGTGACACCAGTAAAAAGTAACACCGGTGACAGCAGCGACAGCGGTGACAGCGGTGACAGCAGTGACACCAGTGACAGCGGTGACACCGGTGACAGCGGTGGCCCGAGGACAGCGGTGACACGCCCGCCACACGCCGGGCTGGCCGTGTCGCCGCGCCCAATGTCCCATTTTGCAGCATTTTTTCCCTCCCCGGGGATTTGGGATTTTCCAGCGGCGGTGCCCAAATAAGGGAACGATGGGAGAGGGTTTGGGACCGGCGCCGTGCGGGGACGGGCCGGGCCAGACACGGGGCTGGCAATGTCCCCAAGAGCCCCCCGCTGCCACCACCGGGTCCAGGGGGATCCTCATCCCAGTACAGGGACCCCATCCCAGTATGGGATTCTCATCCCAGTACGGGATTCTCATCCCAGTACAGGGACCCCATCCCAGTATGGGATTCTCATCCCAGTACAGCACCCCCATCCCAGTACAGGGACCCCATCCCAGTATGGGACCCCCATCCCAGTACAGGAACTCCCATCCCAGTACAGGGACCCCATCCCAGTTCAGGGACCCCCATCCCAGTACGGGATCCCCATCCCGATACGGGACCGTGTCCCGCTGCGGGACCCAGGCCCGGTACCCGGTACCCGGTACCCGGTGCCCGTCCCTGCCGGTGCCTCCCGGCCGCTCCCGCCCCCGCCCCGCCCGGTGCCGCCCGTGGGCGGTGGAAAGTGCCGGGGGGGGGTGGCGGGGGAGGGAGGGGCGGGCACAGGGCGGCGGCGGCGGCGGCGGCCCCGGGATCGGGATCGGGATCGGCCCCGGGATCGGGATGGCGGGGCCGGGGCTGGAGCGGTACCGGCTGGCGCTGCTGGCGGCGCGGGAGGACGTGGGGAACCCCCGGGCCGGGACCGACTGGTGAGAACGGGAGGGCGGGAACCGGGAATGGAGCCCGGGAACGGGGACGGAAGGGAGGACCGGGAACAGCGTACTGAGAGTGAGGAGCCAGCACGGAGAACCGGGAACGGAAGAGGGGACCGAGACTGGGAACGGGCACTGGGACAGGCACCGGACTCAGCACCGGGAACGGGAGCAGGAACGGGCACCGGCACGGGCCACGGCGTCGGGGTTGGCCCGAGAGGCGCCGTTACCGGCACCGGGAAGGGGTTCCGGGCCGCACCGGGGTCTCGGCCGGGGGGTGCCGGTTCGCGGGGGGGGTCCCAGTACCGGGAGTCCCAGCCGGTCTCGCCCCGTCCCTCCCGGTCCCTCCCGGTGCCGCCGGGCTGGGAGCGGCGGCGGCGCCGCCCGGGGCTGGGGCAGGACGGGCCCGGGGGGGGCTGCGGGAGCGGGGAGCACCCCGGGGTGCGGAAAGGGGGGTTCTGTCCCCCACACCGTCCCGGGACGGTTCCGGGCCGGTCCCAGTTCGGTGCCGGTGTCCCCCAAAACTCCCATCCCGGTGTGAGAGGCGACGGCACCGGGGCTGATCGGCCTCGCCGTGCCCCGGTGTCACGGCCCGCCGGCCGCCCGGGCATTGCCCTCTGCCCCGGGAGCGCGGCTGGAGCCGCTCCAGCTCCGGTTCCTCCCGGGCGCCGCCGGTTCCTCTGTCCCGCCACGGGGCGCCGCCGCCTGTCGCGACATGCCGTGACACGCGTGACGCTCCACGCGTGCCGCCGGACCGGAGCCACGCGGGAACAAAGAGGGGCAGAACCGCCGGGAATGGCCGGTGTGGGGAGCGAAACTCCCACCGGGATGGGACCCCCTGAGCCCTCCCCGGGCCGAGCGGGGGGTCCCGGTACCGGCGCACCGGGGGGGTCGCGGCGGGGGTTGTGCCGCTGCGGCGCTTCCCACGTTCCCATTGTCCCGGGGGCGGATGCTGCCGGCGGCACTTCCATGAATTCATGGCGGGGTGGTGGCACCGGAGAGCCCGGGGGGTCCCCAAGCTTGGGGGGACCCCCACTTTATGTGACACCCCCTCTGACCCCCCACCTCGACCCCCACCCTCACCCCCTTTCTCCCCCCACCCAGGGCTGTCTTTGGTTATGAGAAGCAGCACGACCTGAAGCTCCTGGATTCCGGAGGTACCACGAGCGACGCTGTCGGGGAGTATTTGGGGGGTCCCCCGAGTTTCGCGCACCCCCTGTGACCCCCCCTCCTTACAGGCGGGGGGCCGGATGAGCTCGCTGGAAAATTCTCCGTGGGCAGCATCATGTACGGGCTGTGCCGTCTCCCCGATCCCGGCTCCGGTACCCCCAGAATCGTCCTTATCAGCTGGGTGAGTGCGTGGGGGGCACCTCGGGGGGAGCCCCGGGTGGGACCCCCCCAGACTGAGCGATGCTGCGGTGTCAGGTGGGGGAAAACGTACCGGAATCGCAGCGGGCGGCGTGTGCCGGGCACCTGCCGGTCATCCGCAGCTTCTTCAGGGTGAGTTTGGGGCACGGAGCCCTCGTGGGGTGCTGGGGGGGGTTTATTGGGGTGCCCACCCGCACATTCCCCATTTCTGCCCCCCCTCCCCGTTCCCATCCCGCCGCCCCGACCTTTGCCTGTGCCCGGGCGCATTCCTGGCGCTGCTGACTCAGCCGCCGCTTTCCCAGTGCTCCCAGTCTTGGCCGCCGTGGCGGAGCTGTGGTTGGGATCCCCGCCCCCACCCCCAAATCCCGTCACGAGTGGGAGGGGGGGTCCTGCCCCCCCCATCCCCCCAAACAGCTCCCGCTGATCTGTCCGGGTCCGACATCTGGATCCGCTCCCACATCTGCCACGTCCGTGGGAATTGCGCCGAGATTCCCCGGGGAATGCGGGTCCACGCGGGTCGTGGGAGGGGTGGCACTGTCCCAACGTGTCCCGTGCCGGTGGCAGGAGGCCACGGCCGTGATCAGCGCCCGCCGGCCCGAGGAGGTGAGGGCGGAGGGGCTGCGCCGAGCGCTGGCCCGGCTGGAGCCCCCCGCCCCTCGCCCTCCCAGGAGGACCCCCCAGGACACCCCGGAGCTGGTGGTGAGTGGGGGTCTCGCTGAGCCGATGTCCCTGCGGGCATGGGGAGGGCACCTGGGGGGCGGGGGTCTCTGGGTGGGGGGTGTTGGGGGGTCCCACCCCGACCCCATTGTGCTCTCCAGGGAACCAACTACCGCAAGACCAACCCGGCGTTGGAGCTGCAGCGCACGCAGCGCGATTCCTTCTGGGAACAGGCTGAGGTGAGGGGCGGGGGGCTGGGGAGGGGCTGGGGGGTCCCCCGGGATCCTGGGGATGGGGTCACGGCTGCAGAACCCACTGGTCCCAGTGCCGGGCTTGGTGGGGGTCCCAGTCCCGGTGTGGGGTGCCGAGGCTGGGACAGCCCCAATGTGAAATGAGGGGAGGGGTCCCAGTCCCGGTGTGGGGTGCAGGGGGGTCCCGGTCCCAGCGGTCTGTGGGGGTCCCGCGGGGTGAGGGGGTCCCTGTCCTGGTCCCAGTCCCGGTGTGGGGTGCGGGGGGGTCCCGGTCCCAGCGGTCTGTGGGGGTCCTGGTGCTGATGCACCCGCGGGGTGGGGGGGTCCCAGTCCCGGTGCCGGTGCCGGTTCCGGTGCCGAGGCTGGGACAGCCCCAGTGTGAAATGAGGGGGGGTCCCAGTCCTTGTCCCGGTCCCGGTGCCGGTGCCGGTGCCGGTTCCGGTGCCGAGGCTGGGACAGCCAATGTGAAATGAGGGGGGGGGGGTCCCTGTCCCGGTCCCTGTCCCGGTCCCGGTTCCGGTGCCGAGGCTGGGACAGCCCCAATGTGAAATGAGGGGTGGTCCCAGTCCCGGTGCCGGTTCCCTGCGCCGGTACCGATGGTAGCGGGACCCTGGAGGGATCGTAGCGCCGCTGCCGGTGCTGGGGCGGGTGAGATGCCGGTCCAGCTGCCGGTACCGATCCCGGTACCGATCCCGGTGCGTGCGCAGCGCGAGGAGCAGCAGCGGAAGGAGCAGGAGCGGCGGCGGGAGCGGGAGCAGCGGCGGCGATGGGAACGGGAGCGCATGGAGGAGGAACGGCTGCAGGCGGCCGAACGGGAGCGGCGGCTGCAGGAACGGGAGAGGCTCATCGAGGAGCGGCGGTGAGGGACAGCCCTGTCCCGTGTCCCCATCCACGTCCCTGCCCCGTGTCCCCATCCACGTCCCTGCCCCGTGTCCCTGTCCCTGCCCTGTGTCCCCGTGTCCCTGTCCCAGCCCCGTGTCCCCATCCCTGTCCCTGCCCCGTGTCCCCATCCCCATCCCAGCCCCGTGTCCCTGTCCCAGCCCGTGTCCCCGTGTCCCTGTCCCAGCCCCGTGTCCTTGTCCCAGCCCCGTGTCCCTGTCCCTGTCCCTGCCCCGTGTCACCATCCCTATCCCAGCCCCCTGTCCCCATCCCTGTCCCTGCCCCGTGTCCCCATCCCCATCCCAGCCCCGTGTCCCCGTCCCTGCCCCGTGTCCCCATCCCTGTCCCTGCCCCGTGTCACCATCCCTATCCCAGCCCCCTGTCCCTGTCCCAGCCCCCTGTCCCCGTCCCAGCCCGTGTCCCCATCCCTGTTCAAGCCCCGTGTCCCTGTCCCAGCCCCGTGTCCCCATCCCTGTCCCAGCCCCGTGTCCCTGTCCCAGCCCCGTGTCCCCATCCCTGTCCCAGCCCCGTGTCCCTGTCCCAGCCCCGTGTCCCCGTGTCCCTGTCCCAGCCCCGTGTCCCCATTCCTGTCCCAGCCCCGTGTCCCCATCCCTGTCCCGTGTCCCCATTCCTGTCTCTGCCCCGTGTCCCCATCCCTGCCCCGTGTCCCCATCCCTGTCCCAGCCCCGTGTCCCCATCCCTGTCCCAGCTCCGTGTCCCTGTCCCAGTCCCGTGTCCCCATCCCTGCCCCGTGTCCCTGTCCCTGCCCCGTGTCCCCATCCCTGTCCCAGCCCCGTGTCCCCATCCCTGTTCCACCCCCGTGTCCCCGTCCCCACACCCACTGGTGTTTCCCACCGTGTCCCATCGTGTCCCGTGTCCCATTGCCGTGTCCCCGCAGGCAGGAGCAGGCGCGGCTGGACGCGGAGGAGCGGAGGAAGGAGCAGGAGCGATGGGTGAGGGGAGGGGGATGGAATTGGGGGGTCCCGGGGGGGTCCCGGGGGGATCGAGGGAGATACAGGGGCTCCATCCCAGCAGGATCCAGCGCGTTCATCCCGGGGAGTCTGGGGATCCCATCCCAGGGGGTTCAGGGGGTCCATTCGGGGGATTCAGGGGGTTCTAGGGGTCTGTCCTGGGGGATCTGGGGTGTCCATCCCGGGGGATCCAGGCTCCATCCCAGGGGATCCAGGCTCCATCCCGAGGGGATCCCGGCTCCATCCCAGGGGATCCAGGCTCTATCCCAGGGGATTCAGGCTCCATCCCAGGGGATCCAGGCTCCATCCCAGGGGATCCAGGCTCTATCCCAGGGGATTCAGGCTCCATCCCAGGGGATCCAGGCTCCATCCCGAGGGATCCAGGCTCCATCCCAGGGGATCCAGGCTCCATCCCAGGGGATCCAGGCTCCATCCCGAGGGATCCAGGCTCCATCCCAGGGGATCCAGGCTCCATCCCAGGGGATCCCGGCTCCATCCCAGGGGATCCAGGCTCCATCCCAGGGGATCCAGGCTCCTTTCCAGGATATCCCGGCTCCATCCCGAGCCATCCGTGATTCCCATGGCTGCCGTGTCCCGCAGGAGCAGCAGCAGCGGGAGCAGGAGGCGGCCGAACGGGAGCGCGGGGGTCGCACCGGGCTCAGCGGGACGGCGGCCGTGAGTACCGGGACCGGTTCCCTCGCTGTCCCCGTGTCACAGGGCCACTGTCCCTGCCCTGGTGGCACCGAGCTGACCCCCGTTCCCGCAGGAAGCCGCTATCCTGGTCTCCCAGCGCACGCAGAACCCCCGGGAATTCTTCCGGCAGCGGGAGCGCTCGGGGTCCGCGTCCGCATCCCCCGTGCCCGGCAGCACTCCCGGTAGTGCCAGGGGAGGGTTGGGGGGCACGGGGGGCTCTGGGGGTCCCCGCTGACCCCTCGTCCCCGCCAGGTGCCCGCCGGCCCTTCCTGCGCTACCAGCGCAGCCTGACGGAATCCGCCTTCATCTTCCGCCGGCCGGAGCCCCCCCAAAACCCCCAAACCGGCACCTCCGGGGGGGCACCGACCCCCAACCCCCGCCGGCCGCCGCCGCCTCTGCCCCCCGGCCCCGCGGGGACAGGGACAGGGACACCCCAGGGTGCCACCAGCGGGACCCCCGTCAGCCCCGTGGGGAGGGGCACCCCTCCCTCTGCCACCCTGGGGACCCCCCCCAGCCCCGTGGGGAGGGGCACCCCACCATGTGGCACCCTGGGGACCCCCCCCAGCCCAGCCCGAGCAGGGTCCCCCCATGCCACCAGTCCTGTGGGGACGGGGACACCCCAGGGTGCCACCAGCGGGACCCCCACCAGCCCCGTGGGGACAGGGACCCCACCATGTGGCACCCTGGGGACCCCCCCCAGCCCAGCCCGAGCAGGGTCCCCCCATGTCACCGCTCCTGTGGGGACGGGGACCCCTCCCCCTGCCCCCCCAGAGAGCCCCCCCAGCCCTGTGGTGACGACCACCCCCCAATGTGCCACCACGGGCACCCCCTCCAGCCCCCTGGGGACCCCCAATTTTGCCACCAGCAGTTCAGGGTCCCCCCCTGCCATGTCTGTGCCCCCTCCCAGCCCCCCCCTGGATAAAGAGGGGTCCCACCCGGACACCCCCCCCCTCCCCAGCCCCCCAGCATGGCAATCTTTGGGGCCGCTCCTTGAGGATGTCCCCAACCCGCGGGAGGGGTCCCCAATACCCCCGGCCTGGCCCCCCCTGCACAGCCCCAGCCCCCCCCGGCCCGGGCAGGATTTGGGGCGCAATGGAATCGGGGGGCACGAGTTGGGGGGGGGCTGGGAGGCCCCCTGGGAGCCGGGACCACCCCCTGGGCAGGTACGGGAGAGGCTGGGGGCGATGGGGGATGGGGGAAATGGGGGGGGCTGGGATGGGGTTTTGTGGGGCTGGGGGCGATGGGGGAAATGTGGGGGGCTGAGATGTGGTTTTGGGGTATTGTGGGGCTGGGGGTGATAGGGGAAATGTGGGGGCTGCAGGTTTTGGGATATTGTGGGGCTGGGGGTGATGGGGGAAATGTGGGGGCTGAGATGGGGTTTTAGGGTTTGGGGGGTTGGGGGTGATGGGGGAAATGGGGGGGCTGCAGGTTTTGGGGTATTGTGGGGCTGGGGGCGATGGGGGAAATGGGGGTCCGGGATGGGGTTTTGTGGGGCTGGGGGCGATGGGGGAAATGTGGGGGCTGCAGGTTTTGGGGTATTGTGGGGCTGGGGGCTGGGGGAAATGGGGGGGGCTGAGATGGGGTTTTGGGGTATTGTGGGGCTGGGGGCAATGGGGGAAATGTGGGGGGCCGGGATGGGGTTTTGGGGTATTGGGGGGCTGGGGGTGATGGGGGAAATGTGGGGGCTGCAGGTTTTGGGGTTTGGGGGCAATGGGGGAAATGTGGGGGCTGCAGGTTTTGGGGTTTGGGGGGCTCTGGCTGGGGGTCAGGAGGGGATCACAGCACCCTGGGAGAGGGAATGGGGTGGGGGTCGGGATGGGGAGTGGGGTGAGGTCCCCCCACTGGGGGTGCAGAGACCCCTCAGGCCCCTCCCGCTCTCTGCAGGGGGACGAGCCTGGCGAGAGCCTCGTCCTGCACAAAGCCACGCCAGGTACCCCAAAACCCCCCCAAATTCCCCAAAACCCCCTCAAACCCCCCCACCCCATCTCACCCCCTTTCTCCCCCCAGGCTTCGCGCTGCTGCTGGCCCGGGACGCCCCCCACCCACCGATTTTGGGGGGCCCCAACCCCCCCACCGAGGACGAGGACCTCTCCCCCCATGCTGTGTAGCGGGGGGGTGACCCCAACACCTCTTTTTGGGGTGGGGGGTACCCCCTATGGCATCACAGCACCCCCCAGCACAGCGTCACCCCCCACCTGCACCCCAAAAGAGCAGCTTGGGGAGGGGGGAGCACCCCAACCCCCCCCCCGCTGGTGGCAGCACAAGATGGGAGGGCACAGCCCCCCCCCCACCCGGGCACAGGGACCCCCACGCCCTCCCCCTCCCCCAAAATCGCACACAGCAGCCGTTAAATAAATTTTAATGCAAATTATTAGTGAATATTATTAATTGGGGAGGGGGGTGGTGTCCCCCCTCCCTTAGAGGTGAGGGAAAGCAGAGCTGGGGGGGGTCTGTGTGCCCCCCGGGTTAGACCCTGAGCACCCACCCTGCGGTGGGGAGGGGTCCCTAACACCCACCCTGCGGTGGGGAGGGGGTCCCCAGCACCCACCCTTATTGGGGGAGGGGGGAAGGAGACCCCCCCCCCCCCTTTTTGGAGTTTAGCCCTGAGCCCCCCCAGCGTGGGGAGGGCAGAAATTCCAGTTTCTCCCCAAAACCAGAAGCAGGGAGCCCCCAGCCCCCCACAACCCCTCTGGGAGGGGTATGGGGGGTCCATCCCCCTTGTCCCCCCACCCCACCGAGCACTGGGGGGTCAGACCCGGGACTGGGGGGGCCCCGGGCTGCTGCTGCCGCTGCTGGAGGAGCTGGAGTGGGGAGGTTTTGGGGGGCCCCCCCGACCTTTTAGGGTGCTGAGCCGGGCGTCCAGGGACAAAGTTCGGGGGCGACCCCTCCGTGGGGGGCTGGGGCTGCGCAGGGGGGGCCCCTCAAACAGCGACACCCACGGGGGGGGTCCCGGGGCGCGGGGAGCCCCCCGGTGCCGCGCCAGGATGTCGGTGACCGCCGCGATGTCATCCGAGGGGTCAATAGCTGTGGGGAAACGGGGGGGTCACCGGGGGGGAGCCCCAAACCCCCCCATGGACCCCCAGCTGCTGCACAGTGGGGTGGGGGGTGTGAAAGACCCACACACACAACCCCCTAACCCCCCGTGGGTTCCCCTCACAGGATATGGGGGTCGCTTCGCTGCCCCCCCACAATCCTCATGGATATTTTGGGGGTGCTGTGGCAGTGGTGGGGGGTCTCTGGGGGTCCCCCCGTGTGCCCCCCGTCACCTGTCGCTGTAGTAGGAGCTGAGCAGAGCGCGGATCTCGGCTGAGACGTTCTCCTGCAGCAGGAGCCCCTCGCCCGGGGGGTTCCCGGGGGGGCCCGGCGGGGCTGGGGGGCGCGGGAGGGGATTGGGGGGCGCAGAGAGGCAGGAGAGAAACGGGGGGACAGAAAAGGGGGGACAGCAGAGTTAGGGAGCGAGCAGAGAGCAGAGAGGGGGAGACAGAGCAGAGCCCCCCCAAAAGCAGCCCCCAAAACCCCACTCACCGGTCTGGTGGTACAGAGAGCCCTGGGGGGGCAGCGGGGCCGGGGGGCGGCGCGGGGGCGGCTCCTCGATCCGCATCAGCTCCTCACAGCACTGCTTCCACTGCGCTGGGGGCACAGCGGGCATGGGCACGGGGCCTCGAATCCAGGATGGGCACAGCGGGCATGGGCACAGGGACCCCCAATCCGGGATGGGCACAGCGGGCATGGGCACAGGGACCCTCCAAAATCCCGGGATGGGCACAGGGACCCCCAAATCCGGGATGGGCACAGGGCCCCCCCAAATCCGGGATGGGCACAGGGACCCCCAATCCGGGATGGGGACAATGGGAATGGGCACAGGGACCCCCAATCCGGGATGGGCACAGCGGGCATGGGCACGGGGACCCCAAAATCCCGGCATGGGCACAGGGACCCCCAAAATCCCGGCATGGGCACAGCGGGCATGGGCACAGGGACGCCGAATCCAGGATGGGCACAGCGGGCATGGGCACAGCGGGCATGGGCACAGGGACCCCAAAATCCCAGGATGGGCACAGTGGGCATGGGCACGGGGACCCCCCAAAATCCCGGCATGGGCACAGCGGGCATGGGCACGGGGACCCCAATCCGGGATGGGGACAATGGGGATGGGCACAGGGACCCCAAATCCGGGATGGGCACAGGGACCCCAAAATCCCGGGATGGGCACACGGCCCCCCAAATCCAGGATGGGCACAGCGGGCATGGGCACAGGGACCCCAAAAACCGGGATGGGCACAGGGACCCCCAAATCCCGGGATGGGCACAGCGGGCATGGGCACAGGGACCCCCAAATCCGGGATGGGCACAGAGCCCCCCAAAATCCCAGGATGGGCACAGTGGGCATGGGCACGGGGACCCCCCAAAATCCCGGCATGGGCACAGCGGGCATGGGCACGGGGACCCCAATCCGGGATGGGGACAATGGGGATGGGCACAGGGACCCCCAAAATCCCGGGATGGGCACAGCGGGCATGGGCACAGGGACCCCAAAATCCCGGGATGGGCACAGGGATCCCCCAATCCGGGATGGGCACAGCGGGCATGGGCACAGGGACCCCCAAAATCCCAGGATGGGCACAATGGAGATGGGCACAGAGGCCCCCGAATCCGGGATGGGGATAATGGGGGACATGGCACAGAGCCCCCCAAAATCCCGGTATGGGGACAATAGGGATAGGCACAGAGCCCCCCAAAATCCCGGGATGGGGACAATGGGGGGTGAAGGGCATTCCCACAGGGATTTTGGGCACTCCCACTGGGATGTGTAGGGTCTGGCAGGGATGAAGGGCACTCCCACAGGGATTTTCGGCACTTTCACAGGGATTTTGGGCACTCCCACAGGGATGCAGGGCACTCCCACAGGGATTTTGGGCATTCCCACAGGGATTTTGGGCATTCCCCCAGGGATTTTGGGCATTGCCACAGGGATTTTGGGCATTCCCACAGGGCTGGGAGGGTCCCACAGGGATGTGGAGGGTCCCACAGGGATTTTGGGCACTCCCACAGGGATTTTGGGCATTCCCACAGGGATTTTGGGCACTCCCACAGGGATTTTGGGCACTACCACAGGGATGAAGGGCACTCCCACAGGGATTTTGGGCACTCCCACAGGGATTTTGGGCATTCCCACAGGGATTTTGGGCACTCCCACTGGGATGTGTAGGGTCCCACAGGGAAGTGTAGTGTCTGGCAGGGATGAAGGGCACTCCCACAGGGATTTGGGGCACTCCCACAGGGATTTGGGGCACTCCCACAGGGATTTTGGGCACTCCCACAGGGATTTTGGGCAATCCCACAGGGCTGGGAGGGTCCCACAGGGATGTGTAGGGTCTGGCAGGGGTGAAGGGCACTCCCACAGGGATTTTGGGCATTCCCACAGGGATTTGGGCACTCCCCCAGGGATTTTGGCCCCTCCCCAGGTCGGGGGGTCCCAGGGGTCCCCGGGGGCTCACCCAGGTCGCAGAGGTGCTGCCCGAAGGCTCTGAGCCAGCGCTGGGCCTCGGCCGCGCTCTCGGCCAGCAGCGCGTGTGTCACCTCCTCCCCGCCCAGCCGGTTGGTGACCGCCACCCCGGGGGGCTGCCCGCGGACCCCGGCCTCCAGCGCCCGCACCCGCGTGTCCTGCGGCACCGTGGGGCTGGGAGCGCAGCCCGGGACCCACAGAGACCAGAGCCCAGAGCCCAGAGACCCACAGACCCCACAGAGCCCAGAGACCCCATAGAGCCCAGACACCCCACAGACCCCACAGACCCCACAGACCCCATAGAGCCCACAGACCCCACAGACCCCATAGACCCCACAGACCTCAGAACACCCCATAGACCCCATAGAGCCCAGAGAGCCCACAGAGCCCAGAGACCCATAGACCCCACATAGCCACAGCCCCACAGAGCCCAGAAACCCCAGAGACCCACAGAGACACAGAGCCCAGAGACCCCATAGACCCAGAGACCCCACAGACCCCACAGACCCCACAGAGCCCAGAGACCCACAGACCCCAAAGAGCCCACAGAGCCCAGAGACCCCATAGACCCACAGAGCCCAGAGATCCACAGCCCCACAGAGCCCACAGACCCACAGAGCCTGCAGACCCCACAGCCCCACAGACCCCATAGAGCCCACAGAGCCTGCAGACCCAACAGCCCCACAGAGCCCAGAGAGCCCACAGAGCCCAGAGCCCACAGCCCCACAGAACCCACAGTCCTACAGAGCCTGCAGACCCCACAGAGCCCAGAGAGCCCAGAACATCCCAGAGACCCCCTCACACCCCACAGCCCCCACAGACCCCACAAACCTCAGAACACCCCATAGACCCAAGAGCTCCTCATAGACCCCAGAACATCTCATACACCCCACAGACCCTGTAGAACCCAGGATGCCCCATAGACCCCAGAACCCCCCACAACCTTGAACCACCCCGAGCCCCCCACTGTCCCCCTTTCCCCCAGCACCCACCAGGCCCCCATGTCCCCTCCATCCCCCATAACCCCCATAACCCCCCAGAGTCCCCCGTGTCCCCGTACCTTGGTGACAGCGATGGTGAGGGTGGGCTCCTGCCCTGCCTCGGCCTCGCCAGCGCTGCCATAGCAGAGCAGCCCAGGGCCCCTCAGGACACAGAACAGGGGGGCCCCGCTCGGCCCCTCAGCCCCTGGAGCCTGTCCCGAGACCCCCGGAGCCGTCAGCACCCATGGGTGACACCACAGCACCAGTGTGTCCCCCCCATTTCTGCACCCACACAGCCAGCCCCACCCCCACCAGTCCAGACCCGCTGGTGGGTTCGTGCCACCCTGTCCCCATCCCTGTCCCCATCCCTGTCCCCATCCCTGTCCCCATTCCCATCTCTGTCCTTCCCCTTGTGTCCTTCCCATCCCTGTTCCTGTCCCCGTCCCTGTCCCTGTCCCTGTCTCCATGTCCATCCCTGTCCCATCCCCTTCTCACCCCTTTCTCCACCCCAATCCCATCCCTCATCCCACCTCACCCTCACATCCCAATCCCATATCCCGATCCCCCCTCACCAGTGGCTGCAGGGTCTCTGTTCCCACAGGGACGTTCATCCAGCCCATCCCTCTATCCCACACCTTTCCTCTTCCCAATCCCATTCTCTCTATCCCATTCCCTCACCTGCAGCTCCATTGTCCCTGTCACTGGGGGGTATTAATACATCCTGTTTCCCTATATCCTATTTCTATATCCCGTCCCTATATCCCATCTCTATATCCTGTTCTCTATCCCATTTCCCTATGTCCCATCCTTACATCCCATCCCTATGTCCCATTTCCTTATAAACCATTTCCCTATAT